GGAGAAAGACAGGAGAGCGCGAGAGACGAGAGAGAGAGAGAGAGAGAGAGAGGAGAGAGAGGGGAAGGAGAGAGAAAAAGAGAGAGAAGGGGAGGAGAGAGAGAGAGAGGAGCCGAGGAGAGAGAGAGAGAAGAAGAGAGAGCAGAGAGACGGAGAGGAGAGGATGCGAGACGCAGAGAGGGAAGAAGAGGAGGAGAGAGGATGAGAGAGAACGAGGAGCGCGGAGAAGCGAGATAGATAGATAAAGAAAGATGGGAGAGAGATGAGGTTACCAATGTAACATAATTAATGCAAATAGACAAGTAAATGCAACAAAATAAGATCGCAAGCGTATCAAGTCTTGCTCTCTTATTTGTCAATAATTGCTCAAACAAAACCTAAGTCGAAAACCGCTTATTATCCGCGAGGCTTTGGGCGGTCATGTAAAAATACCTGCTGTAAAAGGTCGCCTGACAACAACACATCGCAACAAGGAAACATTCACCGTCAGGACTATTCTCGGCGCGAAGAAACAAGAACTGAATAGAGTTTCTCGCCCAGAACTATTTCTCGTTCATTCAAAATACTTCGAAATACAATAATCCGCATCAATTCCAAGATCAAATCGTTAGCGCGCATATAGATAAAACAACAGATAAGTGAATTATTTACAGTATCGTTGTGTTTGTCAGTATGAATTGCCGTGTTTGATAGGCACCTTTAAGATTCTAGCCACAGCACAAACGTAACGACGTTGTCATATACTTACTGTTCTTTTTCGCGAGGCTCTTTATTATTTCACTGTACGTCGAATCACCCGAGACTAGAGAAGAAGGAAAGAGTAGAGCATTATATTACGCGTTTATCCACTACATCCTGCCTCAAATATTATCAACTCGTACACGTCCCTCTCCTACACGCGTTATAGCAGTAGTATTATCAGGAGTCTATCAATATTGATAGACTCCTGGTATTATTAACTAATAACACATTTCGCGCAGACCAAAATTACTGTTCAGCATTAACCCAATTGTTTCATGTTAAAATTTCAATTTACAGTGTAATATATTATGCCAGTAACGCGTACTCTATAATACGAATCACAATATGAAAGCCAACGATTAACCTCAATTGCTGATGCTACACGTAAATCCGTTTAGCTGTGTTTTACTCGCGAAGTTACAACAATATTCGGGGAACAAACGCGTATACGCACCGTCTTTCCATATTAAGCTTTCATACTGAATACATCAAACAGTACCATAAAATGTGGTTAAGAGCAGACACAGAATTATGAACTAGCCCCCCTACATAGTTATAACACTTTGCCCAACCACATATCCATATATCAACGTATAATACACATGCATGGTAAAACTCTAAGATTTAGCACGAAGCCGTAAACACAGCTAATACGTGGATATATGTGTTACACGTTGCACGTATACTATCCCACGGAGACAGATTTCCCATTAGAATGACATATATCCGGCATGACCGCACGTGGCTTAGGTGAGAGGAGAATGCGGATATAGTCTAGCACATAGATATATTATTTACCTGTTTGTGTCGTGAGAAGAACGATGATGGACACTACACATAGAGTTGTTAGGTTCCACGTTTCTGTCTTCATGTTTCTGAGCAAATCAAAAACCCAAGAGTGTAACAACCGCGTGAAATATATAATATATATATATAGATTATAGTATATATATATATATAATATATATATCATAATAATATATTATATATTCTATATAAATTATATATAATATATATATCAGAAATAGATAACTAGGTAATAATAGGTAGATAACAGATAAGCTAGTTCCCCTATTATCTACTTCTGATATAATATATATATAATATATATATGATAATATATAGCAGAGTAATATGCAATTCGTCATGTAAAAATTATAGCTAATTAAAGCTGGAAATAATGTTCGAAATCTTACCCCTGAATGCATAATTAATACATACAGTCTATACATGCGTATAATATATACACTAGATACGAGGTATATACTATGATGAGAGAAATATTTAACCAAACGTGCCTTTCGCATCATAACAAAACAAAATATGGAGAACGCGCAATATCCATCCCGAATATAATAATCGCTGTAAAGCTCATTAGTGTTGTTGTTAACTTATATTTACAAATCGCGTTCGTTTATGTTTTTGTTTAGACAATACAAACTTTCGTTACACGCACGTTAGTGATTATGGGGATAAACGCGATGTAAACACAATACACATCTAATCCTCCTTCTAACGAACATTCACACACTCTCTTTCTCCATCTCCCTCTCGCTCACTCTATCTCTATCTCTCTCTCGCGCGCGCTCTCCGACTCTCTGCCTTTCCTCCTCTCAATCTCTCTCTCTCCCCTTCTATATTCCTCTCTCTCAACACTCTCCTACCTCTATCTTTTCTCACATACACACAAATTCTCTGCATCTACAACCTTTCTTCACCCATCAGCACCACCACTACTATATCCAACACACACTTCACGAAATCGTAAGCGGAATTAGTCGTTCTTCTTTTTCTCTTTCTCGCTTTCCGTCTTTCTCTCTTGCTTTCTCTCTATCTGCGTAATCCACTCGTTTCTCGTTGTGTCCGCTCGTCGTGTCTGTCTGTCTGTTTGCGTGACGGCGCAGCAGCTTCGCGGCTTATATATATATATAGATATAGGTGCGCGCCGCCGCACTGAAGCCGTACTAAGCATAGAAGCCCTGCTGCCCGCTCTGCTAGCGCACGCGGCGAGGTACCGGCGGCGCGGCCGGCGGCGGCGGCGGGCGTGGTCGGTGCGGCAGCAGACGATGCGGTGCAGGCGCGAGAAAGCGCGGCGCGCTTAGTTAATATTCAGCTGGCAAGGGCCGCGCGGCCATCTTGAATGCTTTAGTTTCATTTCAAGCCTTGTTTCCACACTTCTTCTTACTTCTTGCGCGCGCGCTCGACACTCACTTTCTCTCCTCTTCTCTCTCTCTCTCTCCTCTTCTCTCTCGTCTCTCTCTCTCTCCTTCGGGGTACAATTTGGTATTGTGTATTGCTGGTGAGACATGTTCGATATGTTCGTCACTCTCTCTCACTCCCTCCGCCTCTCTCATGTGGGTCTCTTCTCTCTCTGTGCTTGTGTCTGTTGTCTTCTCTAGCAGCAAACGCACAACGGGGCAAACACGGCACACGCACACGCCACACGCACACGCACACACAACACACACACACACACAACACACACACACCAGCACACACACACACACACACACACAATATTATATACATTTATATATTAATAGTGATGGTGATAATAGTAGTCGTACTAATAATAAAAAAACAGATAATGAGACTGGTGGAAGCGTGTGCAATGCGTGGGCAGGAACTGCACACAGAAGCAAGAGCGTCTTGGTTACTTTTTTGAAAAATAATCGAAACTGCCGCGCGTCTGCCGAAAGTGATTTTGTAGTCGAATAGAATTATTCCGTCGGCAAGTTCTTAAAACATTTATTGCCCTTATTTGCTGCCACTATTAGGACATTCCCCTACGCACCGGTCTCATCATTCAGCGGTCTGTCAAGGTGCTTGTTATGTTATCCAAGGGCAATACTGGATGACATGGATCACACCGCCACCGCTCTCCGAACGAAGGTATTCATTCTACAATATGTTCTGTTTAATCTCCCACCCGCCCCAAACCTCCACCCCACCAAACTCCACATGAACCGTCTAATAAACCCGTTCGGAGGGCTGATGAGCCGAAGAAAGAGGAGCCCAAGAAGACAGATGGACACAAAACCCCCCCCCGTCACGATTTAAAAAAAGAATGCAAAGGAAGAGAGACAAAGGATGATGGAGGAGGCGGAAGACGAAGAGGACGAGAGAGAGGAGGAGGGGGAGGAGGAGGAGGATGAGGAGGAGTAGGAGGAGGAGGAGGAAGAGCAGGAGGAGTAGGAGGAGGAGGAGGAGAGGAGGAGGAAGGAGGAGGAGGAGGGAGGAGAGCAGGAGGAGGAGGAGGATGAGAGAGGAGGAGGACAAGAGGCGAGGAGGACGAGAGGGAGAAGAGGGGTGGAGGAGTAGAGATGGAAAAGATGAAGAGAGAGGAAGGAAAAGAGAGTAGGAGAGAGGAGGAGACGAGGAGGAGGAGGAGGAGGAAGCAGGATAGACGAAGGAGGAAACTACACGAGACGAACAGTAAGGATAAAAGCGACAAAGAAACACAGGACAATGCCCGGATCAATTGAATCTC